TTTTTTTTTTTTTTTTGTCTTGGGCTCTTGGAAGTTTTACTACTATAATGTCTTGGTGTAGTTTTCTCTTTCTTTAACTAGCTTGGTGTTCTTTTGGCTTTTTGTATTTGTATGTTCATTTCCCTCTTGAAGTTTGATATGTTTTCTTCCATTACTTTCTTCACATAGTTTTTTTTAGTTCTCTTCTCTCTCACTTTTCCTTCTGAGATGGCTATGATTATTATATTTTCTTTCCCTGTGTTGTCAGATAATGGCTAGTGTTGCTTCATTTTTCCTCTTTATACCTCTCTATTTCTACTTTGGTTCTTTCTCAGTTTTAATCACTGAACTCAATTATTTATCTTTCCATTTGTTTCACCCTACTTCCTAGGCATTCTCCAGTGTTTATCAGCTCATCAATTGATCTTTCTACTTTTTGCATTTCTATTATTTTCTTTGCTAGAGTTTTGACTTTTATTTTCTGTTCATGGATTGTGTTTCTCTTAGCATGTATTTGCTTTTCTGAGTTTTCTTACATATCTCTAAACTGTTATTCTGAATTTTCTTTGTATTGTTTATTAATTATTGCAGTTTTGCATTCTATATCTGATAGGATAAAGGCTCTTTTATGTCTTTGTGACTTGTTTCTTGTTTTTTCTTTGTTGTGTATTTTCCCCTGGATACTTGCTTGACCATTTGTGTTTTGCTTTCTTTCCATGATTTTCTTTGAGTTTGTTCTATTGTAGTTGGGGCTTTTGTTTGGCATGAGTCATTCTCTCCCTGTTCTTGGCATTTACTTGTTGGTGGAGATAGCAGCTAGGGTCTTGTGGGGGCAAGTGTGTTGCTGGGAGTTCACCTAGAAATTGTTTGGGACTGAGATCTTGGTGTCCCAAATCAGCAGCTAAGCAGGGGTTAGGGACAGGCTGGAATGCAGTTCACCTTACAATAACTCAGAGACAAGTTCCAGGTGTTGTAGTTTTGGGTTGGGAAGCTATCTGTGCAGCTTGCACTGAAGCTGACTGGGCTTTGACCTTGGTGTACTAGCAACCAGGCATGGATGAAAGAGAAGGTGGAGTTGGGTCAAGGTGGACAGCAACCATACAGCTTCCACTGCATTGCTGTTGGGGCAGGAGTCAGGTCGTCATGGCATTGGGGGCTGTGTGGGGTGCAGATATATAATATATGGAGAGGACCCCAAATACATACATACATACATTACATGCATGCATGTATACATACATACATACACATATATACACACACCTATATATTTGTACATAATATTTGTACATATATATTGTACAATATTATATTGTACAATATTATATTGTACAATATTATATTGTACAATATTATATTGAACATATATATATATATACATATATATGTATATATATAATATAGAAAGAAAACCCCAAGACTCCACATAAAAACTAGCCAATACAATAATTAATACCTAGAAATAAATTTAACAAAAGCTATGAAGGGTCTATATGCAGAAAAATATTAAACATTGTTATAGAAAGCCAAGAAGTCATAAAAAATTGGAAAGATATTCCTTGCTGTTGGATAAGGAGAGTCAACATCATTAGAATAACCTTCCTACTAAAAGCAAGTTGCAGATTCAGTGCATTCCTAATAAACATCTCAATGGCATTCTTCAAAAAAATGGAATGCATAATAATAAAATTCACATAGAACCAAAAAAAATAAAGCACTCCAAATAGCCAAAGCTGACCCATCAGAAAAGGGATGAATGAAGGTACCACACTACAGACTTCAAACTATACTATAAAGCCATAGTAATTAAAATAGTATGACACTGGGGAAAAAGACAGACAAAGAGACCAATGGAGTGGATTTGAAAGTCCAGAAACAAAGCCACAAATTTATGCATAACTAATCTTTTATAAATAAGTGAAATATATACATTAGAACAAGAGAAGAAACTCTCAATAAATGGTGTTGGGAAAACTAAGCTGCCACATGCAAAAAAAAATAATAAATAAAACCAGACTTCTCACATGGTGCATTAAAATCAACTCAAAATAAGTGAAAGACTTGCATCTAAGGCCTGAAACCATAAAATATATTGAGGAAAACACCCCCTGACATAAACTTCAGAGATATCTTTGAGGACTCATCTCAGTCACCAAGAAAACAAAGAATATAAATCACTTAAAGCATATCTAGCCCTCCTAGTCTGTTTTTTTTTCTGTATTGAAGTACTCATATTTTTTCCTAAACTGGACATCTATTTAGAAAAATTCAAATGAGAAGTATATACAGGTTTTTAAGAGCTTTTTCTTCAAAATTTAATAAACAACTATGACCTATTAGTGAGTCTCCCTAGTGACGCAAGAGGTTAGCGCACAAAACTATGAAGCTGTTGGCAGCTATTACCAGCCAGTTAATCCACATGGCACAGTAGACCTCTCCTGTCTGGCCCACTATTCCCCTCAGCAGTGGATCTCAGTCAATCCACCAGTTTTGTTCCCCACTATCTCTACTAAATCCTCTTAACCTACCCCACCCCGTACTTCTGGCCTGTACCCCAGTTCTTGTATGCATAAATAAATAGATCTTTAAAAAAAGTCAAATGCAATTCATTAGTGTATATGCTATTTGTGCTGAGTACAATGGCAGCTTCTATAGGTCTATCGTTTTTCACTACAAGAAATATGTGGTGCAGGAGCCTGAGTGATTGTCTCAATCATTAAGTTATCTGTACAGTTACTTCACAGTATACATGACAGTTGCTAGAACTCAGCTGTGTTTTGGATTTTCATAGTAAAATTTCCACATTTGTTTGTAGAAACACTTGAATTAATATAGTTGCAATTAATTTTAAAACATACTAGTTGTGGGGCCCTCCCTGGTGGCGCAGCGGGTTAAAGCACAGCACTGAGAATCTAAAGCCGCTTCCACATGAGTTCGATTCCCGCCTGCCCCGGAGGTGACCACATGGTGTGGCAGACCCCTCCTGACCCACCCGCTGCTCCCCTCAGCAGTGTACTTCATCCATCTGCCTGTTCTGTTCCCCACTCTGTCTCTGGTGAAGCCTCTCACCGCCCCTGAGCCTCTGGCCTGTACCCCAGTTCTGTATGCACAAATAAATAAATTAAAAAAAAAAAAAACATACTAGTTGTGATGATCATATTTACAAAAAGTCCACTTCTTTTTTTCCTCAGTTCAAGGTGAAGGTAGGGCCGATGTGTCTTCCTGGACATCTTTTAATTCTACTTTTACTTATCTCTATAGAAGAAGAATCACTTTCTAGGAATACCTTGGTCTAAATTCAAAACTAGGAAAAAAAATCAATGTCTATAGAGATTCAACTTTGTTAAAATATAAAGCATCCCATGTTAATGATATTCATGGACAAGATGAATATATCATCTCCATAGTCCTAAAGAATTTTAACCTTTTTTTCCCCCCAAGGGAAAAGTATTTTACTATTCTTCTCTTTCATAATTTCTAAAGTTCAAGTCCTTTTATCTCCAAGATAGTTTGACCTAAATGTGAACTCAGTATCTGTACATCTTTGTGTACAGAAACATTACCCTACCAGTCCAAGAATAAGATGTAGCCTGGTAGTTCAGGGGTCAGTTTGCAAAGACAAAGGACAAATAGTACTGATATCATTATTATTTGTGATGGTTAATTAGGAATACTAATTATTAGCATGCATTATAGCCTTTGCAGTTTTGGAGTGATGCTGTAATTTAAATTCTGTTAAAACACCACCCTGGTAGTACTTTGAATGTTACTTCTGAAATACACTCATATCAAATGTCATGTGAGTTAGTGATCACCTGATTCACATTGACACAGCTTAGACCCTGTCTTCTAGGAGCATCAAAGTTAAAGAGATGCTGAAGTGGAAAGATAATTACAGTCCTATGATGAGGATTAACAAATTCTTACCATCATATTTTACAGTCACATAACAAAGAGTTAGTAGGAACTGGTATTTATTCCCATTTTTTATTGTTTATTTGTCATAGCTCATAATATAGACACCACTGGCCAATTCTATCTTTAGAAATTGTTATGTAACTAATTTTCTCTATTTTCAGTTTTGACCTAGTGAAATTCTGTTGTATAGTAGAAGGATTTCTATTCATGTAGAGCTTCCTGATCTCCATAGTGCCTAGAATTTGAGGATTTCCACTTATCTGCCAAGAACAGCTCTAATGGTCCACTGCTCTGTTTTTCAGAATTCCGCTACAATGACCTGGTGTCCCCCTTCTACCTCAGCCTCATCGCCAATTTATCTGGATGCACAGCCCACAGGCATATGCCAAACTGCTCTGACATATGTTTTCATCAGAAGTACCGAACCCAGGATGGAACTTGCAACAATCTCCAACACCCCACCTGGGGTGCCTCCCTGACGGCATTCCAGCGCATCCTGAAACCTGCCTATGAGAATGGCTTCAATTTACCCCGTGGGGTTGGGCGTGATATCCTCTCTAATAAGGATCCCCTCCCACTGCCCAGGCAGGTCTCAACAGAGTTGGTGGCCACAGCGACGGTCACTCCTGATGACAGGTACACACACATGCTCATGCAGTGGGGCCAGTTTTTGGATCACGACTTGGATCACACGGTGCCTGCGTTGAGCACAGCTCGCTTCTCTGATGGGCAGCCGTGCAGTTCTGTATGTACTAATGATTCTCCTTGCTTCCCCATTTTTATTCCTCGCACTGACCCCCGGGGGACCCAGGCATCATGTATGTTCTTTGCACGCTCCAGCCCGGTGTGTGGCAGCGGCACAACCTCCTTGATGATGAATTCAGTCTACGCCAGGGAACAAATTAACCAGCTCACAGCTTATATCGATGCCTCTAATGTTTATGGCAGTTCAGAGCGGGAATCTCTCATTCTCCGAGACCACACAGAGACCAGGGGACTCCTGAGGACAGGCTTACTTTGGGCCCCTTCTGGAAAGCCCTTACTGCCCTTTTCTACAGGACCACCCACTGAGTGCACAGGGCAGGGCCAAGATGGCAGCAGCCCCTGTTTCCTGGCTGGGGACCACAGAGCCAATGAGCAGCTAGCACTCACTGCCATGCACACCCTCTGGCTTCGAGAACACAACCGGGTGGCCTCAGAGCTGTCTGCCCTGAACCCCCACTGGGATGGAGACACTCTTTATCATGAAGCCAGGAAGATTGTAGGGGCTGAGATGCAGCATATCACTTACAGCCACTGGCTGCCCAAGATTCTGGGGGACCCTGGCATGAAGATGTTGAGGGATTACCAGGGTTACGATCCAAATGTCAACGCAGGGATCATTAACTCTTTCGCTACTGCAGCCTTCAGATTTGGCCACACATTAATCAATCCTGTTCTTTACCGATTGAATGACACCTTTGGTGAAATTCCTGAAGGTCACCTTCCACTCCACAAAGCTTTCTTTTCGCCTTCCAGAATAACCCAGGAAGGTGGGATAGATCCCCTTCTTCGTGGGCTATTTGGTGTGCCGGCTAAATTGCGTGTACCTTCCCAACTTCTCAGCTTGGAGCTGACTGAGAAGCTGTTCGCCTCCGCACATTCTGTGGCACTGGATTTGGCTGCCACAAACATTCAAAGGGGGCGAGACCACGGGATCCCGCCATATGTTGACTTCAGAGTTTTCTGCAATTTGTCTTATGTTCAGAACTTTGAAGACCTTCAGAATGAAATTAAAAACTCAGAGATCAGACAAAAGCTGAAAAAGTAAGTATGCAAGTGTTACCTGAACTTAAACATTTCTGAGGGAAGTAGTCCTGTTAGAGGTGTTTTATCTGGATGGTGTTTAGTTTGTTGGTGATGTTATTTCAGAGTTGTTAGAAATTCTTATTGTGGCAGAGGTTTGATATTATAAGAAATATTTTTCAGGAATGTGAATTTCTCCTTTATTCTTTTGTAAATAGAAATATATTTGCTGCCTATAAACATGTGATTGTATCTCAGTGAGGAGAGGTTGACAAGTGCAGTTCACTTATGTTCTAGAAAAATCTAAGTAAGGCTTTTTATTATGTAAATGGACCTGTCATCGAGGCATTCAAGGCAGCACAAATTAGCAAAATGAAATTGAAACTTATTTGTTGTTAAAAGAACAAATCTAAAGTTTTCATTAGGATGTAAGTTGGGACCTTTTCACTACTTTTCAATAGTTCCTTTTAGTAAAGTTTTATTCTTTCTATAGGTGGGGTTCAAATATTCTTTGAATTTACAAATTAAACATTTTCAGGAAAAAACTTATTATTCCCCATTCTTAGCACTACTTGTCACTTATAATTTTTTTTTTCAAATTTCATCAATCAGATTTGTCTATAGCTGGCTAAATATAGAAGGCTGATATGTTTTCTAACTTGTTAAATTATACTACTATGGAATATTTTGGAGAATTCAAAATTGTAAATTCTGTAGTCAGTTGTCAGTATTAGGCCCTGTTTCATAATATAAGGGATATATAAATATTTTTATGCCAATAAAGTTTGCCTTGTACTTAATATATAACAAACTATGAAAATGAGTAATAGTTTTAAAAAAAATCAGAGTGTCATGCACATTAATTTTTCAAGTTTCTTCTGGAAAGAACATTGACTTTGGACTCATAGGGACAGAGTTTAAACCTCTGATCCAACACCTATTAGTGCTGAGAACTTATGAAAAGTAAATGTTTTTGAATCTCAGACTATCTATAAAATGAGAAAGTAGTTGTTTAAAGATTGAATTATATACCCATGTGTCAATTACCTAACCTGATTGAGATGCATCCCTGGTGATCAACCAATGTTACCAATGGATAATTTATTGTAACATTGTCATTTCAGTTGCAACATCATGATTATAATTCATATCTGTTATGGCTCAACCCTGAGACCTGAGAGGAAGAAAATAGCAGCCTGATCGCATGTGGGATCCATGTGGGGAGGCTGATTCCATGCAGGATAGACAGGAAGCTGCTATAATCAGTGTGCAAAGAGCTGTCACAGAGATGACACTTGAATATTATAGGAGCACAGAGCAGCAAAATGGAAGGTAGTTAGATGATTCACAGCTAGCTATTGATGAAAGACATCATTTGAATTGTTCTTGGGATTTTCTGAGGATGATAAACAACAGATTATCTCAGGAAGAAAGATGGAAAAGGAAAGTGTAGAACTGAGTGACAGGAGGGAGGACTAGAATGATGATAGGAGAAGAGCAGGAGAGTGACAATGAAATGGTAAATGTCAAGAATCTGGAAGATAGCAATGGAAAATGTTGCAGCTAGAAGCAAGAAATTGCACCTTAGTGTAGTAGTACTGCTAAAGAGACAATTTAAGCTAGCTTGTGGTAGTTTACATATGCTATTGGTATGTTAAAGGTTTTCTGTAGGCACGGTATTTGCATTGAATAAAACTGCAGGCCAGTCTTGCTTTGTAATTCATTTTGAGTCCTTCTTAACAATAACTGACAGCTAACTTGTAGATTCACTACAAATTAGTGAAAATCAGAAGTGTTTTGTTTTAAAATTTTCTTGTCACAATGTCTTTCTAAATTCTTTGGTTTTAATAAGAGATAGGGTAGCCTTCTGGTGGTTGCCTCATGCAGTGTTTGATTGAAGTCTAGATACGAGCTCTGCAGTCCAGTCCTGGTAGTAGATGGCAGACGAGGTCAGCCCTATCAATGGATGGTGGCCAGAGACAGCTCACTAAACCCATAGGTCTGACTTTCTATGTCATCCTGTAATGCAGTTGTGATATAACCATAGCCACTTCTGATACTTAGCACAGAAGATATGGTACTTTTTGGGGGGAATGCCTGAACAAGAGGAACTTCTCACATTCTGATGCATGTACTCTGCTGAGTTGAGCAGGGCTGATTACTGTGAAATATGCAGGGAAGACACAGACCTGAACTGCCTTCTTTTCCCTTGTATGCCCACAAATCCCACTTTCCTCTGTGATTCATAGCAAATTTATAAAATGTCAGCCATAGGTCTATCTTCAAATCCATAAGATTTCAGTTTATCAGGAGCTCCTTATGCCTATGAAATGGTATAAATTTAAATATACTAACATGTCCCTTCTCTTTATTGTCCAGTTACTTCTTTTCCTTTTTGAGTTAACCTACAAACAATAATTGTAACACAGCAATGAGCCAAAACTTTATTGGGGCTCTCTAGGAGAATTGCGATTCACTCACCGCCGCTCAGGCAAGTTCTGATGTGCACTGGCAGAGCCTCCTGGATGTAGACTAGTAAAATTCTTTGATTGGAGAAAGAAACACAGGTGGAAGGAAGAGGTGCCTGGACATTAAGGATGTGATAGACTGTCTTCTTTGAAGCTGGGATCTGATAACAGGTGTTCATTTCTTTGGGGGGGACAAGTATACTATCTCCAAACTCCCCAATTTCCAAGAGTGAGAAATATAGAATAGATGGTTGATATAAATCTACTTTACTAAATGGTCAAGGAAAATATGCAAAAGCTCAAGTCCCATAATCAGTTACTGACAGCCTTTGGATGTTCCACTTATCAATTTAAATTCCACAATTGTCTAGTTATCTTTAAACAAGTATAGTGTTAGGAGTTTGTTTCTAAACCACTTCATTCAGTTTTGGAAATAGCATAAAATATATATTGATGAAACAAAAGAATGGATACTTTCCTGCAACATAAAACACTCCATATTTTATATAACAAACCAGATAAATTAAAAGTTGACTAAAGCAGGGAATCATAAAAATAACCCATATCCACATCCTACATATTTTAACTTTACACATTTGCATGCATATTAAATCTGTTACTTGCACTGTGTAGACAAAGTCTGTATATCTAGCTTGGCTTTTGCTGCTTGAAGTTCTCAATTATCCAGCTTTGCAATAAGCTATGCCTAGACTCTTTTATGATTAAAAATTTTTGGAAAGGGAATAATAATTTGCTATGGATGAATGTGTGAATATAGATTCATTGTGTATATACAATTCTGCCGTATTTTGTAGTCAAATAATATGTAGCTATTTGGTATCAACATTTTCACACTTTTTAACAAGACTTCCTAAGGTACTGAGATGCTCTTTTGCAGAAATAAGTGCACTCCTTTTTTAGACAAACATTTCATTATTTACATAAATTTAATTAAGGCACAGACTCCAAGCCACAAGTATGGCTGTGGTAAGCAAGTTTGCAAGCCCTGCCTTCCATCCTCTAACTACATCTCTCCAGGATCCAAGACCAGCAGCTTTTGCTAGAAGGATTTGTAAAATTCACAGGCTTCTTATCTTCTTTGGTACCAAGAGCTGTAATAATCCTTTTTTTTTTTAAGTGTGCTTTATATTTTAGATTTTGTTTCAGTCAAAAGTCACATCAAAATGAATTATTTTCATAGGATTATTTTTACAACAAAATCATACTGCCAATTTCTTTTTATTCCTTGCAAAATACAGTGATCTGAATGTTATTATTATCCACTGAGTGGTGAACATAAGTTAGCAAAGTTCATTTTTAAAGCTAATTTCTCCTAAAAATGCTATATATATAATACATACATACACACATACATACATACGTGTGTGTGTGTATTTGTGAATGTGGCTATTTTGTTTTTGATTAGTTACACATCTTATTAGTACTTCATTGGATACTATTAAAAAACTCCCAAAACACTCAGTTTCTCTTTTTTCTGCCCATAGGAACCATGAGGTCAGACTCTATAATGAGACTTCTTAACAACCTGCATGTTCTGTCTCGTTTTCCTGCCTTTGAGAGCAGTTGATTTCTTATCTCATAGTTTGGCCTATTCTTCAGGATATTTAGCTTTCATTTTCAACTTTCAAATTTGTATGTTTTCATGTTTGTATGGACATGTTTTACAGTACCTTTCACTATTACCATTCTTTCACTTTTCTGAATGGTTAGTATTTATAAACATAACTTGACTTTCTGTAAAACAGAGATTCTTAATTATTTTATGTAAGACCATTTTATAAGGGCCCTCCCTGGTGAGGCAGTGGGTTAAAGCACAGCAGGTTAAAGCGCAGCACTAAGAAGCTAAAGTCACATTAGCATGAGTTAGATCCCCACCCCAGAGGTAACCCACATGGCAGGGCAGACCTTTCCTTACCCACCCGCTGCTCCCCATAACAGTGCACTTCATCAGTTGGACTGTTCTGCTCCCCACTCTGTCACTGGTGAATCCTCTCACTGCCCCTGCACCTCTGGCCTGTACCCCAGTTCTCTATGTATAAATAAATAAATCTTTAAAAAAAAAAGACCATTTAATAAATCTGATAGAAACTAGAAACCTCATTTTGGAGGGAAGAAAATCAACACTACAGTTCTGTCTGCATTTTTAGAGAAATTCAGACTCCTGAGACCTACTCATGGAAACTACAATTGGCATAGCAAATAGTGATAGAGAACCATTTTCCTCCACAGGACTTACTGGGCATATGAAATAGTGTTTCTCCATGACATGAACCCAAATGGCTGTTTCTCCAGTCAAAAATAAGACTCCAATCTAAAACTACCATTTGCTGCTAGTCTCCCTTTAATGACTTTGTTTGCAACCCTTTTGGAAGGAATGATTTTGTTTACTGAGTTATGGAAAAAAGTGTGGGTCAAGAAGATAAACATTTTTTTCTGCCTCTTAATCTGTTTCTGTACAGAATTTATTTTTGGTTCTCCCTCAGTTTCACTACTTTATATGCACTGTATGTTGAAGGTTATTGTCCTGTGGCT